ATACAATCTCTTTGTTCCCAATATAGATGAGGCGGTCTGAAGAGTCATAAAGCCTGTTTTGACAGTTCCTGTGTAAGTTTTGCTTACAGTCTACTTTGGAATACAGAATCTATGGGATTTTGCTGCCTCAGGAAGCTTCTGGGGTGCTGTCTCGGTACCTACTGTTAGTGTTTTGCAGTAGAGACCAGCATTTGGTTGCTGTACCTCATCCTACTTTGTTCGTTTTGAACTCCTTTCAGGGTCAAGGTAGGACCAGCCTGGGGATTTAAGCAGCTTATCTTCAGACCTCACATCCCAAGTTCTCCCTCACCGTCCGGTCTCCCTTGTTGTGATTATGCAGAGCCCCAGGTCCTGTGGGTGATGGATGGATGATCAGGAATCAAGAAGCTTCTTCCATAAAGGATGAGAATGTAAATTATTTTAGGGTCTGTGGGCAATATGGCCTCTGCCACAGTTATTCAACTCTGTCGCGGTAGTGCGAAAGCAGCCAGCCACGGACAGTTCACAAACGAAAGCGCACCGCTGTGTTCCAGGGAAACTTTATTTGTTGCGTGGGCAGGGGGCCGTTTAGGCTTCTGGGTCATAATTCACAGACCCCTAGAAGAGGTCAGTGGATGGATAAAGATGACCATAACTATATTGGGGATTTACCTGGGCAGAAATGGAAGAAAACCCGAATGGGTTTGAAAGCCCACAGCTATGAAGGACAGGAACCTGCTTTGTTAAGAACCAGACTTTAGAATTTTCATTCTGGAATTTGAAGAAACACTCAGAAACTCAAGTTGGGAAGGGATCATCTTTTTTTTTTTTTATGTTTTTATTTATTATTGAGAGAGAAAGAGAGAGAGAGAGCGAGAGAGAGCATGAGCTGGGGAGGGACAGAAAGAGTGGGAGGCACAGAATCTGAAGCAAAGGTGTCAGCACAGAGCCCAACGTGGACCTCGAATCCGTGAACTGCGAGATCATGACCTGGGCTGAAGTTGGATGCTCAACTGATTGAGCCACCCAGATGCTCCAACGATCATCTTTTTTAAACTAGCTGAGTGTGAGGGGCGCCTGGGTGGCTTAGTCAGTTAAGCGTCCGACTTTCGCTTAGGTCATGATCTCGCGGTTCATGGGTTCGAGCCCCGCGTCGGGCTCTGTGCTGACTGCCAGCTCGGAGCTTGAAGCCTGTTTCAGAGTCTGTATCTCCCTCTCTCTCTGACCCCCCCTGCTCATGCCGTCTCTCTCTCTCTCTCTCCTAGAAATAAATAAAAAATATTAAAAATAAATAAATAAATAAATAAATAAATAAACTAGCTGAGTGTGGAGTGCCTGGGTGGCTCTGTCGGTTAAGCGTCCGACTCTTGGTTTCGGCTCAGGTCATGATCTCACGGGTTTGTGGGATCTAGCCCCGTGTTGGGCACCACGCTGAAACTGAGGAGACTGCTTGGGATTCTTTCTCTCTCTGCCCCTCCCCTGCTCCTGCTTTCTCTCTCTCTCAAAATATATAAATAAACTTAAAAAAAAAAAACTAGCAGAATGTGATGCTCAACAGAGAGGAGGGAGAGCAGGGAGTCAATGCTGATGTGTGTTCAAGGCCACTTGCCATTGTCTGGGTGACTCTTAGGCTTGCCACAGTGGGCTCTTTTGTGCTTTTGTGCCTTCTAACACATTGACCCACCTGCCTGGACACCACTCTCACGTCCACCCTTGGCTTCACTGGAAAGTTGTTCACAAACCTGTTCGAATATGCAGCCGATGTGCTATCCCTCAAGCCTTAGCTGAGTGTGCCCGGCTGGCTCCAACACCCAGCATCTACATAGTGTCACCTGGGAGCTTCCCCCAAAGCTGAAGAAAAGCCTCTCTGGCCAGAGTCAGTCAGACCGGAAGTGCTGGGGAATCACCATCCCCAGGAGCGGCCATCAGCCAATGACTGGCAGGGACAGAATATACATATCCCGACTCCCCCCTCCAGCCGGTAGCTGAGTAGGAGTTAACATGTGGCCACTGGTCTTCCAGTGGTTTGGAGCTCCAGTCCCCCCAGCAGAAGGTACTTCAAAATGAACTCTTTGCCAGCACCTCCCCCTTCCTGGCTTCCTTACCTGCTCCCCCCTGAAGTTCCCAGCACTTCCCAAATGAACTTTTTGCTCTCAATTCCTCACTCAGGCAGTGCTCTTGGAGGAACCCCACCTAAGCAGCCTGTGACTTTCCCCGCATACTTCCTTCACGTGTCCCTTCTACTTTCTGCTGCAGGAGAAAGACCCACCGTGTTCCATTATCGCCATTGGACTCAGATGGGTCTTTTCCCCTGAACAGTGAGTGGATTTCCTAGAAGCGGGTCTTACTCATCTTTACAGTCCCTGGTATTTTCCCTGGCCAGTCACACAGTGTGCAAGAGGGGTGTTTGTGAGCTCCCGGAAGCCTGCTGTGTAGGTAGAATCGATACAAAGAGAAAAGGCAGACAGGGTCAGTGCTGCACTCCTGATCACATGTAGCTGCTACCAGCCCCACGTGCATGGCTATTTAAATTAAAATGGAATAAAAATTAAAAATTCAGGGACACCTGAGTGTCTCCATCAATTAAGCGCCTGACTTCGGCTCAGGTCATGATCTCACAGTTTGTGAGTTCGAGCCCAGCATCAGGCTGTCCACACAGAGCCTGCTTCGGATCTTCTGTGTCCCTCTCTTTCTGCCCCTCCCCCCTCCCACTCTTTCTCTCTCTCTCAAAAAGAAATAAGACTTAAAAAAATTAAGAATTCCGTTGCTCCATCACAGGGGCCATATTTCAAAGGCTGCATGTGGCTAGTGGTGTCCTACTGGGTAATGCGGTTGAGAACATTTCTATCACCGTAGTTAGTTCTGTTGGACAGTGTTGGGGATGGGGAGCCAAATGGAGCACCCCGAGCCCATGGTTTGCTTCTATGCAGTCCTGTGTAGGTCACAGGGTTCCTAAAAGCTTTCAGGGACCTGAACAAGTAGCTATACCCCGCACGTGTGCTCACCTAAGGATAGACACCACTTCACAAAGCAAGAGAAAACCAGTGATATGTAGGTAAGTCTTCACATGATCGCTCTCCACGCATATTCTGACTGAACCACAAAAGAGATGAAAGGTACTTCAAAGTTTCCAGTGCCCTCAGGGCTGGTAGAATGGATACCACATCTGAAGAACAGCCTAGGTCGTCGTCGTCATCGTCGTCGTCGTCGTCGTCTTCTTCTTCTTCTTCTTCTTCTTCTTCTTCTTCTTCTTCTTCTTCCTCCTCCTCCTCTTCTCTTCCTCTTCCTCTTCTTCTTCCTCTTCCTCTTCTTCTTCCTCTTCTCTTCCTCCTTCTCCACCTCTTCCTCCTCCTTCTTCTGCTTCTTCTTTTTAATATATATAATTCTAAAGTTTTGTTTATATTTTTCATTGCTAATGTGGTTCCACAGTCTAAAAGCCCAAAGGCACAAGGGGATTCAGAGAAAAGCCACACTTCTGTTCTGCACTCACATCCTTTCCTAAAGATCCCCAAGGCTACCCCTGCTTTCTTTCCAATCCTTTGAGAAATGCACAGCGCACCTAAGCACAGCAAATGATCTGCGTGAGTCTCTCTTTTTTTGTTTATTTATTTTTGAACATATGATACACTCTGTTTGGTCTTTGCTTTCTTGTTTTCCATCCGTTGTCTCTCGCTCTTGGTGCTTTGACGCTTCTGTCACACTGCCTCTTGGCCAAATTCCTCTCTGGGTCCTTCTGGCCCCTCTCTTATTAGGCATTGATCTCTCCTTGCCTCACACATACTCTTGTCTTCTAACAGCCCCCCACCCCCGCATGGTTCTGGGGTTCCCTACTCCATCCTGTGTTACTGGATTTATCTTCCTAATGCACCATGAGGATTGCTCTTCTCCCCTGCTCTAAACCCTTCAGTAGCTCCTTTTGTCTTCCCAGCAAAGCCCAAGGTGCCCTGCCTGAAACCCATGGCCCATTGCAACCTTCCCACCCCACCCTACTGTCCACATGTGTTTGTGCCCTCCACCCCCACCCCGCCCTTTGTATTGGGCATTCTGTCGGCCTCAGCTATCTCCCCCAAATCCCCTCCCTTTCCAAATCCTGTCCTTTTTTCAAAGATCTGCTCAAAAGCCACTTCCTCCATGAAGTCCTCCTCCTTCAGATTCCAGCTAGAAATGGTCTCTCCCTCCCTGGCCCAGGCAGAGCCTTGGGTGTGTTCTTCTTTGTTCTGGAGTCATTTGTCTGTGTCTCAGCCCCCCTACCAGATGGAAGGGTTCACAGGGCAAAGACTATGTTTGTCTCACATACTTTTTGTATCTTTCACTTAACCTAAAGCAATGTTAGTGCATCCTGTCCATATCACCTAAAGTACAATTGTTGGATGAAGAGTGAGCCCGGTGTTTAAGAGGACAGTGTCTGTGCATTTCAGGGCTCTGAGAGGTTTCTATCAGCAGGGCCTTTATTCTCTATACCGAAAATATCAAATCACTCTTCTTCTGCTGAGTCACTCATGGGAAAATTGGTCATTCGGTGTAAACAGGAAATCCATTCACTATTAAGAATACTCAGGGCAGGAGTGGAGGGCTGCTTGGCTGGCTCAGTTGGTAGAGTTTGTGACTCCATCTCAGGGTTGTGAGTTTAAGTCCCACATTGGGTGTGGAGATTACTTAAAATCTTAAAAAAAAAAAAAAAAAAAAGAGAAAGAGAGAGAAGATGGTTACCTGGATGACTCAGTCAGTTAAGTTTCTGACTCTTGCTTTTGGCTCAGGCCATGATCTCATGGTTTGTGAATATGAGCCCCGTGTCAGGCTCTCTTCTGCCCGTGTGGAGCCTATGTCTGATTCTCTCTCTCTCTCTCTCTCTCCCTCTCTCTCTCTTAAAGTAAATAAATAAACTTAAAAAAAAAGAATACTCGGAACAAAGGTGGCATGCTAGTATGCTGCACACGTACATAGGGAGGGTACATATACATAAACTAACAAAGAAAAGAAAAGAAAAGCCTTTTCATCAAACAAGGAGAGAGGCACATTAAAAGTATTGCAACTGATTTATTGTATTTTGTGAAATATGTTTCATTTATGCAACAGCTGGCTGAAGTTAAGGTTTAAACTATAGAATGATTTACTTGTTTGTAGCTGCATAGAGTGACTAGCTGACACTCGGGTACATGACACTGTATGTAACTCTTCTGAGAACCAAGCAAAGTTGTGCTTTCTGGCATGGACAGCAAGTGAACAGACTCACCAGTGGCCCCTGTCAATGCCTGGGACACACAGGTCTGCCGATCCTATTGTGTATACACTTTAATGCCTTTACAAGTGTCAGCATTGAGCTGGAAGTTCAAAGGGCTGGCATTAAGGTTAATGCCACGGACCTAGCACGTTTCCTTCGTCCGTCCGGCGCGTCTGCTTTAGGTAACTTTCCGCATCTGGCCTAAAAGACAAACGAGAGCTCCTGCTCCCCCGTTGATGGGGAGCCAGAGCTGGCTCTGTCTGACTTCTCACTGGGAAGGAACGAGATGTATTTGCCCAGGTTGGTGGCCACGTGCCTGCGGAAGAAGTGGCCGAGGTGCTCCCGGAACCTCTCCCCGACGAAAGCGTAGATGATGGGGTTGACACAGCAGTGTGTGTAGGCAATCACCTCCGTCACCTGCATGGCCACGTCCAGCCGTTTGCTCTGCTCACAACTGAACTCAAAGAAGATTGCTTGGAAAGCAGAGAGAAGAAGAACCAGGTTGAAGGGAGTCCAGAACATGAAGAAGACCACCATGATGACAAAAATGAGCCGGATGGCCTTGTACTTGGTTTTATTGGGGCATCTCAGCAGTGTCCTAATAATTCCTGAGTAGCAGATGACCATGATGAGCAGGGGCAGGGCCAGACCGAGGATGTTCATGCTCAGAGCATGGAAACGCTTCCAGCTGTCTTCTTGGCCTCTTGGGTAGAGAGGCAAGCAGATGTACTGCTCCCCTTCGTTTAGGGAGTGATGGAAGACAAACTCAGGAAGGGCTGCTACCCCTGCCAGGACCCAGGTGAAGATGCTCATGATGATACCAAAACTGACAGTCCGGGTCCGGAGAGCAAACACAGCATGGACGATGGCCAGATACCGGTCTATGGTCAGCAGGATGATGAAGAAGATCTCACCATACAAGCCCATGTAATAAAGCCCAGAGAGGAGCTTACACATGAAGGGGCCAAACACCCACTCATTCCACCTGCTGTAGTGAATCCAGAACAGCAGAGTGAACAAGAAGAGCAAGTCAGAAATGGCCAGATTGAGCAGGAAGATGTTGGTCATGATCCGGAGCCTCTTGTATTTTGTGAGGATCACGACCACCATCACATTGCCCAGCAGACCAACCACAAACACCACGGAATACAGTGGGGGCAGGAAACGGGTGCCCAGCTCCTTGACCTTGGTTTTTTCACATGGCAGAGAGAATTCATAGTCAAACAGGGTGGTCCTGACAGACTCATCCACTGTCACTACCTCAGTCCCGGCCGTCAAAGCCTCCATTGTCCCTATGATAGAAAAACAACAACAACAATAAACCAAAGCAAAACCAAAAAAACAAAAAGCAACCCCACAATTAGGTATGATCACTCTTGGTGAGCCACACCTGTTGATTTATCCATTTACCCACAAAACCATATGTGATTAAACAGCCTGTTTAAAGGATCTTCAGTGCATATTTAAAAGTATGCCTGGGATGCTATGGGGGGAGGTGTCAGCCATGAAAGATATGAGGTTTTGAAAGTCAGCACAATTCACAATGGGAAAAGAAACAGAAATGTTGTGGATGGAGGTGAAAGAAGAGGACATTGGTTCCTGCAGGCATTTGAAGGAAGAAATACAAAACAGGATAAAGTAGGCTGGAGAGTGATAATAATAATATTATACTGATTATTATTGCTGTATCTTTTCAGTCATTTTGAATTTTAGGTTTTATAGTTTATACATGACTTTTAAAATCATCTAACCTGTTTCAAAACCAAGTGGTTACAGTCATAGTGACTGTTATTATTACAAATAACTACCCCTCTCTGTGGCTGCTTATCAATGTGCTGTTCATCAGAGATGATGGGGAAATTGAGCCTTGAAGAAATTTGGTAATTTACCCCAAATCCTCTAACAAATAAATAAATATAAAAGTTCAGGCTACAACTTCAGGATCATTGTCCAGTTTTCTCCTCACTAGATTCAAATGCAGTGATTTTTAAGTTTAACTTTTGTGGCACCTGGGTGACTCCATTGATTGGGGATCCAACTTTGGCTTAGGTCATGATCTCATGGTTCACAAGTTCAAGCCCCGCATTGGACTCTTTGCCATCAGCCCAGATCCTCTGTTTCCTATTTCCCTCTCTGCCCCTCCCCCATTCGTGCTCTGTCTCTCTCTCAAAAATAAACCTTAAAGGGGCACCTTGGTGGCTCAGTCAGTTGAGCGTCCAATTTTGGCTTAGGTCACTATCTCATGGTTTGTGGGTTCGAGCCCCACATCGGGCTCTGTGCTGACAGCTCAGAGCCTGGAGCCTGCTTCCGAATCTGTGTCTCCCCCTCTCTCTGCCCCTCTCATGCTCATGCTCTGTCTCTCTGTATCTCAATAATAAAAAAAGTTAAAAAAAATTTTTAAGAAAAAAATAAAATAAATATTTAAAAAAACAGTTTAACTTTTAAAGAATTCACCATTATGGTTATTGTCAACTATTATAACAATTACAGTTATAAGCAAGAAACAAAGACTGCTTCCTTTTTCCTGATCCTGATAATGCTGAGATAATTCAGTCATAGCCAACAGCAGACCCCTTAGAATCCCTGCTTCATAAAGGGGCTGAGCGGGGGGGGGGGGGGGGGGGGGAGGGAAGGCTAACGGAATTTCTTAGCAGACTTGATATTTTAAGGACTAGGATCCCTAAAGCCAATACCTGCTTTTCTTAAGATTGCAGACTTGACTGGAGAAGAAGGAAAAACAGACAAGGAAGGATTTCCCGTTAATCTCTGCACTGTGTCCTTGGAAGAAGTCCTACTGACTTTCTCTGAGGAAGCGACAAGTGTAAGGACGTGAAGGTAGGTCAGTGGCATTTCTCAAGGTAAATCCCAGAAGTGCCGTAATTGGAGACAATGACAAGGCACTGTCTTTGCTTCTTAATAAAATACTGGGACCCCAAAGGTCAGCCCGCGTCAGGGTCCTGGGTAGTCAAAGCGACATTGGACATGGGCAGGAGGCATTCCTGGCCGTGCCTCTCACCAGCTGTAGGAAATGAAAGCTTAACTTTGAGCCTCATTTCCTCATCCCCAAAATAAGGATCACAGTGCCACTTGAAGTTATGTTCAGGGTCAAGTAAGATAAAAAAAAAAAAGCTGTAAAATTGGTAGAAGCGGAGCCAAAAGAAAGGCAATGAGAAGCTGCTCCATATAAAAACGAGAAGGAAAGGAGGGTGTCTTAGGTAGAACTTAATCTGTTTTCAGGGCCCCATTCTAGTGCATCACACAAAGTAACACATTCAGGCTTTTAGGTGGAAAAGGCACCTGAAAAACAGCTGATTGTACGATCTTTTCAGCATTCTTACTTCTAATGGCATAATCCTCAGCTGCTGAGAAAAACAAAATACCCAATATCTTGTCTGTTACACATTTACAGTCACAGAGAGTGCGCCTCTAAACTTGAATGCCTAAAGCAAAAAAAGGAACAAAGTTTCTTGCTCCAGAGAGCAAGCATATTGTAGCATCTGCTTAGTTATTTCTATTATCTTTCCTTTTCTCCAAGGCTGATCTAGAAACCAGTGAAATTTAAAAAAAATCACTAAGGTTTGGTTCAACTTGATGATCATGTCTTTCATTCATGAGTCGCTTTCAACATGACCGCGATCAAATTGTAGAATCTTTCGGGAGTTCTGGAGTGCAAGGCACAGGGTTGAATTCAGGTTCTCTGGAGTCAGAAGCCATGACCTTGACTACTCGTGACATGACAGAAATGTTTTCATCTGTCTGTATAATCCAGATCAAAATGAATAATTAGGTCTGAAATCATCAAGAGGTTTGAATTAGGCTTTTAAAAATGTCTTTTTGGGGGCGCCTGGGCGGCTCAGTTAGTTGAGCGTCGGACTCTTGATTTCAGCTCAGGTCACGATCCCAGGGTCCTGGGATCCAGCCCCATGTCAGGCTCAATGCTGGGCATGGAAGCTACTTAAGATTCTCTCTCTTCCTCTCTCTCTGCCCCTCCCCTGCTTGTGCTCTCTTTATCTCTCAAAATAAATACATAAACATTTTAAAGAAGGTCTTGTTTGCATTTCTGGAAGAGTAGCACAGTAACAGTAAATAGACAAACAGCAACAGTAAAGAAAAGCAAAAATACGAAAGTAAAAAGCACCCCAGACTTCACTATTAGCAATGCTAATTAGTACCATGCTTGCATGGGTACAAGTTTTACCCAAAACTGCATTCATACACTACTTTAGCTGGTTCTCTAAAACTGCTCACAGGACAACTCAGCTATGCAACGCAAACGAAGTTCCTTCAGTCTCCAAAACGGTTTGGACCTTACCAGCTTTCCACCGAGCAGCGGGAAAAAGGACTCACAAATTGCAGTCGGAGTGGTTTAACCTGAGCCTGACCCATTCATTTGGAGGACGGCTCTAGTTTCACTCATCCTGTTTAGGCTGCCAGCTTATTAATTTTGGTTTCTCATCTTCTCTCATTGGTCCTTTCAAAGATGGCAGTGGAGATATGGGGGAGGGACCCACATGGGCAGAGTGGAAAGGAGGTGCCCTGGTCTCCTGCTGATCCTCGTCATGTGGCTGATGCCTACCGAGAAAGGGCCACCTGGTCCCAACCCTGAACTTCCTGCGGGCACCTGCTGCTTTGTGGCTCATGGCCTCACGATCCCTCTATTCTCAATCGTCCCTGGGCATAGTGACCTCTCCAGCCCTGGTGGGAATGGAGGACCCTCTGTGTTACCTCCCCATCATGATGCTTCTGGTACCTTCTCCTGAACCGACAGGCAGCTGGCAGACCCGCTGCTCCTTGACACCATGTCCATGCCATGGACAAACGAAGGGACGCTCAAGGGTACCAATGAAATTATTTTTCTCCCTGACCACCAGCTTAACTGTCCCGGCCACCCATGTGGGTAAGGAAGTGGCTCACAGAGAGACGTCTTCTTGGAAGGTCCCCTCCACAATTCATCAAACAGCCCTTCACGCCCTCTAACTCTGGTCAAAGCCTGGATGGGGAAGATAAGAACCCCCAAGCATGACTGCTTTCTTCTGTGACCTGGGACTCTTTTCTCACAATTCCTGGAGTCAGAAGGAGAGGAGCCCTCCCCATACTCCCCATGGCTAGAATTAGAGACTTCTCTTTAGAAAATATATTGAAGTTTGGAATGTCATTTAATTATTAAAAAAAAAAAAAAGTAGGGGCGCCTGGGAGGCTCAGTCAGTTAAGCATCTGACTTTGGCTCAGGTCATGGTCTTGCAGTTTATGAGTTTGAGCCCCTCATTGGGCTCTGAACTCATGGCGCAGAGCTTGCTTAGGAGTTTCTCTCTCTCCCTCCCTCTTCCTCTGCTCCTCCCTCACTTGCGCGTGCTCTCTCTCTCTCTCTCTCACAAAATAAATAAATAAACTTTAAAAAAGTAGATGCACCTTGGTGGCTCAGTCAGTTGAGCCTCCGACTTCAGCCCAAGTCATGATCTCGCAATTTGTGAGTTCAAGCCCCACGTAGGGCTCTCTGCTGTCAGCACGAAGCCTGCTCTGGATTCTCTATTCCCCTCTCTCTCTGCCTTTCCCTCTCTTGCCCTATCTCTCAAAAACAAATAAACATTTTTAAGAATGTAAATTATGTCACTTAATCAATGCTGGTGAGGTTGGGAAGACCCTGGAACAATAATTGCATAATTGCATCAGCAATGTAACTTGGTTCAATAAGTTTTGGAAATGTTGTATGTAACCAGGAATCAACAAGATACACATGGCTTTGGGCCAGTGCTTCTACTCTGAGGAATTTACCCCGAGGGGAGGAAGTCTGCCAAACCAAAACACATGGTACAGATGTTCATTGCGGCTTCATTTTCATAACAGAAAGAAACAGAGAAATGGAAACTGTTGAAAAGTTTGACACATGAAGGAGGCTTTGAACAAATTGTAGTCTGCTGATGCAATAGATTAGTATATAGTCATTAAAACTAGTTTTGGAAACCAGATGGAATCACGAACAAATGGTTGTGGGAAATGAAGAGAATATAAACTGCGTATAGTAAGACAGTGACACCGTGAAACTATATGCATATAAAGAGCAATGAGCAAATAATGAAAATAGTTGTAGAAGGGGGTGGATGGTAAATTTTTAATTTTTTTAAATGTTTTTTATTTATTTCAAGGAGAGAGAGAGAGACAGCGTGAGCACTGTCAGAGAAAGAGGGAGTCACAGACTCTGAAACAGGCTCCAGGCTCTGAGCTGGCAGTCAGCACAAAGCCCGACGCGGGGCTCGAACCCACAAACCGCGAGATCATGACCTAAGCAAAAGTC